CTGCTGTGTATTGTGCATGTCGCCAAGCTAAGGCATCACAGCAAAAAAGTGTGGAGAGGCCGAGCCTGCGTGGCCCAAGTAAGGCAGATGAAGCTTCCAAAACCACCTTCTCCGAAGTTACAGGTTTTGCCTCTGCCTGCCAAATGTTACCAAGAAGAACTCACGATATGTGTGAGTTCATTAAGCACAGTGTTTCTGACATGTTTGCAAGAAGCGTACGTTCACCCTCATCAGCTGTCCAGTCACCCCTGATTTCCCAGCCTGGTGACACTGAGTTTGTAGAACTGACCTTTGAGCCACAGCTGCCCCAGAGGGTGGATGGGGACGGCCTCTCAGCTGCCCTGCAGGCATGGAGCTGGGCAGAGGCCGCGTGATTCCTGCTCACTCGTTGCAGGGTAAGCACCAGGAGACAAACGCGGGAGAGGAAACGTGAGATGGGGACAACATGGGATTCTGCTCTGCCGTGTAGAACATGGCACATGTGGTTGCACGAATCCCGGGGAATATGTAGTCACGGCATGTCTCCTTCAGACTGCTGTGACCCCTGTGTTGAGTCTTGCAGAGTTAGCTGTGGGGTTATTTTGTGATTGACTTTAAACTTTTTAACAGCCCCTTGAAAGGAAACAGCTCATCAGTGTCTATTGGTGGAGAATATTTGCTTTCCTTTAGTACCCCATGTCCAGTGAAGAGTCCAAAATTCCAACAAAGCATTGAGATACCATCTCGCAGTGCATCTGTGAGCAAGCGGAACAACCATTTTGTTTTTAAAAATGACTTGCCCTTGGGCTTCAGGAGCTTTTATTGATACAGAAATGTTGGTCCAGGATGTGAGAGATTTTCCTAGAATCTTTTTGGCAGGGGCTTTTTACCAGGGCCAGATAGGAGGAATCTTAACCCAATATTTCATGATATGCATTTGTTTTCTAAAGATTAGGTTATTTTCCAGGCTCTATTTAGCTCTTTGTCATTGTTGCTGATTGCTTTCTTTTCTCTTGGAAATGAAGTTATATCCAAAACAAGGGATTTAAAAGAACTTCAATTTTCTCTTTTATTTATCCAATTGAGGCTAGATCCAATCCAGCTGCTGTGTTTTATGATCCTGTGCTGTAATAAATAGATCCATTACTGATTGCTCTGTTGTCATCCTAACTTTAGAGGATAATATTCCAAAGTGGCAATTATCACCGTTCCTTTTGGATGGAAAGAGTAATTTAATTTTGCGTCATTATGGTCCATTAAGAAGTCTTTCTTGTATAATAAAAAGAGTGTGCTGGAGACCACAGTGATAGAAAGAGCTTGACTCTTATTTGGAATACTTTTCAAATGGATATCCTTAAAAACTAAACCCTTCACAAGACTGACTAAACAGATTACAGCATGTACAATGCTGAACTCCACAGCCTCAATCCCAAATGCTTCATCGAGCTCCTGGCCCCCCTGCTTCAGCTCTCTGGCACATGCTGATGTCAAGAGGGGAGGTACCAGCACCTCGTACATCAGTTCATACATAACCCTGTTTTCCTCTCATACTGATAGTGGTGTTCTTGTCGTGGGAAGGGACCCCTCCGTGTGCTGGAGGACATGGCCGGATATTTTATTTCTTGTTCAATTTCTATAGTGCAGGAACAGATGGATTTTGCTGTTAGGAAATGTGCGCGTGTATTTTTGTCTGTGATCTGCAGAGAAACACACATGGCTTATGATCCCAAATTGTTGGTCCTCTTCACTAGGGATTTTCTGTGTACTCTGAGCAGTATTTCTACTGCTTGAAGACTGTGAGCACCCAGCGCATCCCACATATATGTCCTTACCATGCTGTACTCAGTGGGGAAATAAGGTGTTAGAAAATTTGATTGAGGAGTCGGCTCTTCTGGCATTGTCGCTTCCCTACAGTGTATGTAGTTCTCTGGTTGGTAGGCTCATGGGGTTCTGGTGTTCACCACAGACCCTGCAGTGTCCTTTCTGGCTTTTGAGACAGGTCTTCGTGAGCTTACTGAGAGCCTGCCGCTGCCACGCATGAATGGGAAGAGCACGAGCTGGACCAAAATGCTTCCTGACCAGGAAGAGAACAGCAGCTTTTAGGGCTTTCACTACGCTTCCATGACAAAGTTGTTCATGGAGAACAGAGCCACTAACAGTTGGTCTCACATTGATCCCCTGCCCTCCCTACCTCCAAGCTGCTTCGCTCGAGCTGACAGCCTCTACACACCGTCCACGGGCACCTCATGCCCAGGCCCTGCTCTGTAACCCTCTGCCCGGCAGAGTGGGCAGCAGATGAGTTCTGCCTGCCTTTTCTTCCAGCCTCCTTGCTCTCCGTGTTTATGGGAAACTCATGTCTTCCGCTCCCTTATCAAATTTGATTGACTTTGGCAGAGCAGTTACTGGCATGGTGGGGAACTGCATATGCATTACACACGTATAAGCTGTATTTCCTTGGGAGTTCAGGCCACCCATTGAAGAGAAATCAACTTTCCCATCTTTGAGGAGAAAGCTGTGGTAACAGCAATGGTGATTTTTAAAGCGATAATATTTAATTAACTATTTTTTGTCTAAATATCTGCAAGCACTGTGTTGATATTTGTTCACTAGACACTCAACCTTCCTGTCATTGTGCCCACACTTATCTTCAAGTGCCGGGCTATATCTGATTTCCAGAAGAACCATTTTCCGCCTAAAAGATAAAGTATCCTTTCCCATGCCAGCAAAATAGACAATCTGTGAGCTCTTGATGCTCTCAATCCTTATCTAGCTATTACTTATATTGGAAGTTTAAAATCTAGATGATGAACCCCAGATTCATTCGCTTTCCTGTGGGACAGAGCTAAAAAGTAGGTCAGCATGGAAAATAGCCATTTTTCTCAAATGTATGTACTATGCACTATGTACTGTTTTCTAAATATAGTGGGTGCTCCTTGTCTGTGCTGAGCCTGGTGTTGAATGCCGGAGAAAGAGAGAGACGGGACTCGGGTGTCCTGGTTGAAATCCCAGCCACGGGACGCGTCCCTTCCGCGCTGCCCGGGAGCACTGGATTCCCCGCTGGGCTCTGGCGCGCGTGGCTCCCGGAGCAGCTTGTGTGCGGGTGGCAGCCAGCCACGTGTGCTCGGTGCAGGCACCTCGTGCTGCGGGCGCCTCGTGCTGCGGCCGCCCTGGGCAACCGCTCGTGCTCCTGCCGCAGCCCGCACCAAAGAGCGCCGTGCTGTGCATCCGGTGACGGACGGCACGAGGTTAGCGTGCCCCTTCTCTGAGCACTACCCAATCAAAGACCTCGTAAACCAGGCAGTCCTTGGTAAACAGAGGTTTTGTTCCAGAAGAAAATAAGCATTATATCTGTCATATTACTCCAGCAGCCAGAAGGTAAGAGCAGATTGTTGCTCACCACAGACATTCAAACAGAAGGCATAATTTTTAGTCATTCCTTAAATGTTATTTGGATGGTTAGTAGAGTCAGCCACAGGCACGTGTAACGGATGATTCTGATCTGTGACGACTCCACAAAGTAGACCCCGTTCTAACCAGGAGCAGCCCCATTCTGGAATGGTCTCTTCTGCAAGAGCTCCACAATGTTGTCGTTCTCGGCTTGCAGCATCCAGGCATCAAGACATCCACTGGTCCTGAAGCTTTAACCTTCTCTCCTGTTTGTTAGCGTGTGAGCAACCACCTCATTCTCGAGCGTCAGGTCCAGCTATTGTTCCAGTCTTAGATCACCCCTCGTCAGCCCTGTACAGGGAGCTGTCCAGACACCTTGGTTCATGCCGATACTTCTCACTGTCACTCTGAGACATGTTATGTGTTGCTGTCAAAACATTTACAGCAGACTTCGGCACACCTAATTCCTGCATTTCTGCGCCGAGAAGTTGGCTGCATACCAAAGTATGCCTAAAAATTAGGAAAAAAAATCATTACTGACTGAGATGCTAATTAGTAACAGACTGATCAAGGTGGAGACTAGAAATTTAGAGGTGTTTTTGCCTTCACTTGGCCTGCTTTTCACTATAACAGAAACAAGTACAAATCCTAATCCAAATATTTATACAGAAGTTTTCTTTGATTTTTTTCTTTGATTTTTTTTTTCTTTTTTACATGCATTGAGAGTATTTTCAATCCTTCTGCAAATTTGAACAGCTGCTTAGGACATGATTGTTGTTACTATACCTTGCAGTGATTTTAGCTCTTCAGCATTTACTCTAAAAGCACGCTCCCCAATATGTGTCAAGGTACAACCATGGATCATGGGATAAAAAGACATCTTTTGTTTGCTGGTTTCACAGACTTATTGTTTTGTTTGTTTGACTCACAGCAAATGTTCCAAAGTGACTCAGAAAGGGAGCTGATATTTAATTACGGAAACATTCTGTACTAGCATCTGAGGTTTAGCAAGTTAAGATGCTGCTCTTGATAATAGTAACTTTGCTCTAATAACCACTTCCATTCAGGAATCGCAAGGTTGCGTAAGCATTTGCCTGGTCGGTTGGCTGAAGGATTTTAAACAAGTGCCAAGCTCAGAACCCTCTGCCCAGCTTGGGAGAAGTTTGGATACAATCCAAGGCTACTTTGCTTCAGATTGCCTGTGATTAAAAATTTATACTGCCTCCTGGGGGTAAGTTTTCCATGCAAATTAGAAACACCCCAGTGGCCAGATACATAAAACATTTTTTGGCCAGTATCGGAGGTACTTGTTTTGAATGCGTGAAACTAGACAGCCTGTTCCCAACCAGATTATTATTTCTAATATTTTGTGGGGCTAAATTCTGGGAAACTTCAGGAGAATGTAGACAATGAGAATGCCATTCATCTCAGAGGGATCAGGATTAGTTCTTGTGTTAGTGAACTAAAGACATAAATAAATGTTTTCAAATCTGAACTACTTAGGTGAAATAAGCTGTATCTTTCCAAGTTTTGGCTTAGTCGTTGCTCATTATCTTTCCAGCTGCTGTGATACGGTACAAGCAACGAGATCCAGATGAATGGCTCCAAGTGTGAGAGTGGAATATTTTACTACTGGAAAAACATCTTTTTTTGAACTGGCACTTGGGCTATTGTTAATGCAATCACAGCTATTCTTGGGCTTGAGACATTAAACAAAGCTCCAGGTGCTCATTTTATGGAGGTGAATAATTAACCGGCAGTCTTATAAAAGAAACTTTCTTTTATGGTGAATAATTCAGCAAGTGTTCAGGCTGCAGGAGAGCAGTTTCAAAGTAAATCACAGAGTCCCTGTTTATTTGAAAGCAACTTCTTGTCTTGTGATCTTGAAGAGACCTTGAGCCTAAAAGGTGGTGCATGCAATGGGTGTCCCTTCCCTGGCAAGAAGTAGCCGGGGCCTTCTGCTCTTTCTCCTTTCTTGCTCCTCCAGAGTAGCAGCGCCGAAAAGGGAGCAGGGACTCTGTTATCTGCCGTTCCTCTGAGAGGCAAAAGATTAACTGACACCAAGTCACCATGGAGCTGCAAAGTGTAACTGCAAGGAGTCAGCGGAAGAGCTAAAAAGTGAATGATTTAGATTATTCCATTGCCCAAAATTTTACTACTTCCTGTCTGTTTTAGGACCACTGCTATTGCAGCATTGTCTATTAATGAACAAGGGAAATAGAAAACAGCAAAGAGGCATTCTGTGCTTGAGTAACGTCTGTCTTTCTAACCTAAAGGGAAATTCTTTAGTACAAGAAACCAGTGCGCTGGTGTGCTGGGACGCGCTGGTGAGGTTCAGCTGTGCACCTTTGCCCTCCAGGAACAGTGTCCAAAGAGCAGAGTGGAGGCAGTGCCAGAAGCACCCAGACCAACAACACGTGAAAAGGAACAGCACAGCTCTGGGGTGGGAGCGGAGGGCACATGTTTGCTAACATCTCCCGGGCTCAGACAGTTTTTTGGTTTTGGGCTTCTGCCACAACCCACTCTGAATACTTCTCCTTTGGTGCAGGTGTTTGTGAGATGCTGGGTCCTACAAATCAAAACTGCAAATTCTAAAGCTCAGTGGTCTTTGCTGTTAAATCTAGCACCACGGTGCCTGGGAAAATAAATTCACCTGTCAACAAACACAAGAGGTATAATTTGTTTTCATGAAGGTGTTAGCTAGTCTAAAACTATTGGCAACACACCAGCCCATTATGTAGAGGAAAACACAGCCACTAAAGTTCTTTGTAAAATGAACAACTTCCCAAGTGCAGGGTGGACTTGATGAGATGCCCTAAGGTGTAAAATTGAAAGAAGGTTTCATTGGTGCAGAACTGGCACAACTGAGAGCTCCATCAGGCCCAGCCACTTAAAATCTTTTCCTGAAAACATTTTTATCCAGCAATTATTATATGTACACACTATATTTGCCTTGTAATCACGCCCATACCGCATTACCCCATCAGCAGTAGTACTTGTTTGAAGATGTCAGAGCTGTTCCTCTAGTTGAGATGGCAGGGACAGGTACTTCTAGCATTTGAAGGTTCCAGACTTGCTTTTCCTTCTGCAGTCCTGCTTGTAGTTGAGCAGCCACCGCTCAGTTTTGCAGTTGTGTCCTGTGTCCATAAGGAAGGCGAGAAAGATAGGAAAGATGTATGAGAGCAGTCATCAAATGCACAGGCGAAGGTGTGCTTGCTCCTTAGAGACAATGGTACAGGAGATATACAATACCGGTCACAGCTTCCACTTCCACGTTTGTGCAGCTCTGCCTCTGCTTGGTATGATGCCTGCAAGGTTCTTCTCACTTCTGGGGGCAGGAAAAATGATCCAGGATCATCAAAAATGATCCAGGGTCGGCCGGCTGGTGGCATCTCTCACCAGCAACAGGTTGTATTTTAGCTATATGTGTGGCGTGAGATCCCCCCGTTAGGCCCGTCTTGAAAGTCTTGCTGGCTGTAACAGGAAATATTGCACCTTGACATTCACATCTTCAGGATCTATCTCAAGGTAATTAATGGTAAATTAAAAGAAGCTGATTTAGCACAACTTAATTATCACTAAGTATTTAATTAAGATTATTGAAAACAACAGTGAAATCATCAGAGCCCACTTAATTAAAATTGATGCTGATAATGAACAGTGAGTCATCTCCCTCCTGCTGCTTCACCATGATCACAAAGCATCTGCAAACAGGCTTATATCACTTGGACTTTGAGCTTGGCACGGGGTTCCCTCCTCCTCTCCTGATGAGAGATTAGGGTTTCAGTGGGTTAGATGAGTAGACAGTGAGGTGGATTGAGGACTGGCTGGATGACAGAGCTCAGAGGGTGATGATAAATGGGGCCGAGTCCAGGTGGAGGCCTGTGGTGCCCCCCGGGGTTCAGTACGGGGCCCAGTGCTACTCAGCTTGTTCATCAATGACCTGGATGAGGGCAGTGAATGCACCCTGAGCAAGTTTGCAGATGACCCTAAGCTGGGTGGAGTGGCTGACACTCCAGAGGGCTGTGCTGCCATCCAGAGGGAGCTGGACAGGCTGGAGAGTTGGGCACAGAGGAACCTCATGAGGTTCAACAAGGACAAGTGCAGGGTCCTGCACATGGGGAATAACCTCAGGCACCAGGACAAACTAGGGGGTCACCGTTCTGTGCGTTTTGACTTGTGCCACTTGCATGAGCTGGCTCCCCAGAAATGAGAGAGTTAGGAGGCCAAAAAGAAACCTTGGATAGGGCAGTCTTTCACGTGCTATTTTGCAATGCATAGGGAAGGTACCTGCTGAGTAACTTTACGTAACAGAGCAATTTTAGGAGGTTTTGGCTTATTGTCCTTGTACTGTAGTAATACCTCTTTCTGTTGCTGATGCGACTGTGCTTGTGCTACACTCCAAGGTGGATCAGCAGACGATGCAGGGTGGATTATCTTATCGCTGACATAAAAACTGCCCTTGGGTAAGCCAGTTGTTTCCAGCACAGAGGTCAGAGTTATTTCAGGGAAGGACTCTTCCTGCTAATGATGCAATTATCTCCATGTCCCGTTTCACAGGAGAGTGACTTTCACCTTAAGGAGTGTGTGGTGTCACTATCTCCCAAATTCTGGTATAAAAATGAGATGCAGATCATTCAGGAAAATGAACAGAGCATCTAACATATGGAAGAGAACAAATGTAGATTTTTTTTTTCTTGAAAGACATGAATTTTAGCAAATGCAGATGGGATATGACAATAAGGTTAAGGAGAAAAAATAGAACATTGGGTAATTCTGTTCTTCCTGTTATTATGGGAAAAGAAATAAATGAAGTGTGGTTGGAAAGAGAAAAGAAACTACTTGACAGAAACACTTTTTGCAATATGAGTGAAAATCAAAACTGGAATAGTCAGTATTTCCAAAATTAATCCCCAGAAACACTGCAATATTGGAAGAAATGTTTAAAAAAAAAAAAAAAACACAAACACGAAGAGTAAATTCATGCAATAGACTGGGAGCATTATAAGGACAAAAGAAACCCAATGGGAGATACCTGGGCCATAGGAGATGGAAAAGGCTGAAGAGTCAGTGAGTGCTAATCTGATGAAGGTAAAGTGTGATATAGCAGAACAAGTTTCAGAGCTACCATCCACATACCTGAGACCATAGTTACAGGTTCAAGTGTATATGGGTGCAATCCTTCATTCCATGGGGCGTTTCTTCCCTATAAGGCATGTTTTCTGCGTAAGACCGTTCCTTCCTAAACTGGATGCCTCCCCCAGCAATCAGCTCTGAAATGAGCCTCGTGTTAGCAGCAGACAAGCTCAAAAATAGTAGTTTGGCTTAAGAGGCTGAAGTTGTAAAGATTTTTGTAAAGAAATATTTTTGTAAAGAAATATTTGCTTCCTAAGGAAAATAGCTTTTTGTTTGTTTGTTTGTTTAATTGAAATGGGCAAAATTTCTGGTCTGTAGTTAAATTTTCAGGTTATGTTGCTTATATTTCTGTTCTGGCTTTCATTCACATTGTCTGTGAAAAATCAGCATTTTCATTAGGAAAACAGGAAAAAATGTGACCTGAAGAGCTCCACCCATCCCTCAGTCACCTTCTGAAAAAAGGCATCTAATTTTCAAGAGCTGTTTTGCAGCAATGCATTTCACAGCTTCTGCCGTCTCTGCCTCCAGAGAGTCTTCAGAAATGCTTCAAGGCTTCTCATTCCACTTTTGATTTCAAACTATTTTATCTTTTGCATCATATAGAAAAGGAAGAGGGCTCTTAGTTCCTTGTGAACATTTGCAGCTGCTAGTAAAATCCAACTTTTATTATTCTCAGAAATTTCAGCCTATCCTGGCAGTAGATTTTAAAATGCATGGACTTGTTTTGTGAGCTGTATGTTAATGAAAGTAAATCACTATTCCCCCTCATCCTCAGGGCCAGTGACAAAGTTCCTCTGCACACTGGAACTGAAAAGGACCCAGTGGATGAACAGGAACACCATGGAGCAGGACAGGAAATGTGAATGAGCATCTCCTCCTGGATTCAGAATGATCCTCCACGGGCCCATGAGGTTAGAGAATAAGAAAAAATCTCTGTTCATTTCTAGTTATTTTCTTCCACAGGCACAGCACCAAGTTTTCTTTATTCTCTTCCCTAAGTCTCTCTCAATTTCTTGGCCACCAGACTGTTTTGGAGTGTGTTTCAGATGTTTCATCTCTTTAAAGCCATGGTTTTTATGAAGATGCATCACACTTTTTGAAGATGCCGGCTGGTGCGCAGTGTCCCAGCTCCTTCCTCGTCCCCGCAGGAACTGCCTCTGCGTGCAAGAGCTCACGGCTGCTCCCCGTTTTCAGACATAGCCTAATTTAAACTTTATTATTGTCAGGAGATCAAGTTGTTCTACACAGTAAACAATTCCAAGATTAAATATATATTCTGAATTCCAGGCCCTAGGGACACACGAAGAGAGCCAGAGAGAGGAAGGCTTGCCCTGGGTAGAGGAAGAGTGGGTCAGAGAGCATCTAGGGAGCCTCGACACCCACAAATCCATGGGCCCTGATGGGATGCACCCCAGAGTGTTGAGGGAACTGGCGGACGTCCTAGCTGAGCCGCTCGCCATCATCTTTGGAAGGTCCTGGAGAACGGGGGAGGTGCCGGAGGACTGGAAGAAAGCCAACATCACTCCGGTCTTCATAAAAAGGCAAGAAGGAGGACCCGAGTAACTACAGGCTGGTGAGCCTCACCTCCATCCCCGGGAAAGTGATGGAGCAGCTCATCCTGGCTGCTCTCTCCAGACACATGGAGCAGAAGAAGGTACTCCGGAGTAGCCAGCATGGATTCACCAAGGGGAAATCCTGCTTGACTAACCTGATCACCTTCTACGAAGGAATATCTAGCTGGATAGATGAGGGCAGAGCGGTGGATGTCATCTATCTGGATTTGAGCAAGGCTTTTGACACTGTCCCTCACAGCATCCTCCTGGGCAAGCTCCAAAGGTGTGGGATAGATGTGTGGACAGGGAGGTGGATTAGGAATTGGCTCGATGGCAGGGTGCAGAGAGTGGTTGTCAATGGTGCGGAGTCCAGCTGGAGGCCTGTACTTAGTGGTGTCCCCCAGGGRTCAGTTCTCGGTCCGGTCCTGTTCAACTTATTCATTAACGACCTGGATGAAGGGCTGGAGTGCTCCTTCAGCAAGTTTGCCAACGATACCAAACTGGGTGGAGTAGCTGATAGCCCTGAGGGCTGTGCTGCCATCCAGAGGGACCTGGRCAGACTGGAGGACTGGGCGGCGAGAAACCTCATGAGGTTCAACAGGGGCAAGTGCAGGGTCCTGCACTTGGGGAGGAATAACCCTGGACACCAGTACAGATTAGGAGTGGACCTGCTGGAGAGCAGTCCCGCAGAGAGGGACCTGGGTGTCATGGTGGACGACAAGTTGACCATGAGGCAGCAGTGTGCCCTGGTGGCCAAGAAGGCCAACGGGATCCTGGGGTGCATTAAGAAAAGCATCTCCAGCAGGTCGAGGGAAGTGATCATCCCCCTCTACTCAGCCCTGGTGAGGCCCATCTGGAGTACTGCGTCCAGTTCTGGGCTCCCCAGTACAAGAGGGATGTGGAGCTGCTGGAGAGAGTCCAGCGCAGGGCTACGAGGATGATCAGAGGCCTGGAACATGTGCCCTGTGAGCAAAGGCTGAGGGAGCTGGGCCTGTTCAGCCTGGAGAAGAGGAGGCTGAGGGGGGACCTGATCAGCGTGTATAAATACCTCAAGGGAGGCAGTGAGGAGGAGGGGGGCGGCCTCTTTTCAGTGGTGGACAGTGATAGGACTAGAGGAAATGGCTTCAAACTGAAGCATCGGAAGTTCCACAGGAACTTAAGGAAGCATTTCTTCACTGTGAGGGTGACAAAGCACTGGAACAGGCTGCCCAGAGAGGTTGCGGAATCTCCTTCTTTGGAGATCTTTAAAACCCGCTTGGACGCAGCCCTGTGCCACGTGCTCTAGGTGACCCTGCGTGAGCAGGGGGGTTGGACTCGATGACCTCTGAGGTCCCTTCCAACCTTCGGCATTCTATGATTCTATTCTATGATTCTATAATTTGAGTTGATAGCATGTTTCTGTATTGCAGAGATGTTTGCTTCAGTTCATTCCTGGGGCATTCCCTGTGTTATCAGGAGACATGGTAGGTTTGGTCAGTCTTACTAGGACGTCCATGCAGAGTCCTGCAAGATTCTTGCACCTGTTTGTCATGCATTTCCTGTGTTGTAAAACCAGTGCAGTAAAGCAAATAGGAAGATGTTTCTCAGATCAGAGATTTCAAGGATCATCCACGCTCTTATTTATAACATACCTTTTAAATGGGAGCAACCAATCTAGCAATTGAAATAATGGGGTTTCGATAAATGTATTTATCCAAAACATAACCTTAAAATGGAGAAGTATAAAATATCAGCCTAACAAGGAATTGAAACAGGGCACCAGTGTACATGACTTTCAGTTGAGTCACTGCTGTTCTCTAGGGATCAGAATCTTTTACAACATTGGCTGATGCAATAGACATATTGAGGGTATTTTTTCTCATTTAGACCTGGACATTTTAGCTTTCGAATTTTCTTCCTGTTGACAAGGCTTGAGCAATGAAGCATAATGCTTTCAAGCCTGGGAAGCAAAGAAGAGTGATTTTTCTCTTTCAAGCCATAAATCTCATTATCTCGCCAGTGGATCTCGCCGTAATTTCGTGCAGTGGTTGGTGCTCACACCTCTTCTTCCAGGGCCGCGTTCCTGCCCGGACACCGGCTCCCGGAGGAGGAGGAGGAGGCCATGGCGGGGGGCTCTGCGGGTTCCCCCATGCCCTTGGCTCGGCCCCACCGCTGTCCAGGCTGCTCTCCAGGACCTTCCTGCTAGTGCTCAGCACCAGAGACGGCTCAGAGAGACCGGCAGGGAGAGGATGCCCCTTCGATGCGCGACAGGGCAATTGGGACTAGGAAAGTGTTTGATTTAAGGACCTTGTGGATTCAGTGTGTTTCTTCAATCTGCATGATTATAAATATGAATCAGAATAGCCCCTAGGGACCTTAGGAATGTTTTTCAGCTTTACAAACTCCTTGCTCAAGTAATGAAAGCATTTCCCCCTGCTGTACAGTGATGATTTTATTATCAGATTCTGATTTCATCAGCCAATCTGGCCCCTCACACCTGATACAAGATCATAGCTGGATTATGTATATTAAAATATTCTTTTTTGATACTGAAAAAATGAATCAAAATATCACCATTAAGGACTTCAGTTGCATTGAACAATTCAGCCGTAGATCCCATATCCATTCAAACAATGTGACTGTTCCCAGTGGTGTTAGCCAAGGTAGGAGGAATCTATTTAGATGAAATTCTGAACAATGCCATCAATTCATTTCATTTTAGGCCTCCAGCACTGCTGATATCCCAGGCTTTGTCTTTAAAACAGTCTGCCAGCTCTGATTGAAAGCAAACCTTTGATACTCATCATAGCTCTCAAAAGCAGACCTGTGCACCTTCCAGGTAATATCCAGGCCAGTTCTGGCCTTTATCTGGTAGAGATTTGTGGAAAATAACACTATAAATTATCTTTCAACTTGGCCATTTCTCTTAATCAAACAGACAGGCTTAATTATAAGATGAAGCCCAGAATGAGCTATTAAAACAGTTCCTGGATGAGGGTAAGATTGATGACGGCCCAGCGTGCAGGGCCATCCTGGTGAAAGGGGCGACAGTGCTGGTTTGTGAGTAGAGGCTTCTGTAAGTGGCTGTGGGCTCTCCTCTTCTGGGCGATTGTTTGTGGCTCCTTTTTTCCTCCTCTCTCAGATGATGGCAGAAGAAGCGGCCGATCGCGCCGAGCTCCTGCACGTGTTCCTTGGCAGCCCGCCAGAACAGGACTGTGTACAGGACAGGTATTGCTGGTGGCTGATGTTGTTAATGCTGTTGCTGCTGTTCTGTGGCACGGAGGGGTTCAGTCCTAGGAGAGCAGGGGTTATCTAACCCTTATGCTTTTCTTAAGTTACAAATATTGTGAGAAGACACGTTACCACGTTCTCATCAGAGGAAACGAGGAAGGCCTGTGGGCAAGTCCTTTAGGACTGTATCAGGAAAGGAAGGGAACTGACTCCATTCTGTGCTTATTTGAAGGAAATGAGGAGGGGAGCAGCGCATCATTTACCAGCAGCTCGTTAACAACAACTCGGGGCACATGGCTGAGCCTGGGTGATTGACTCCACATCAGCTAATCAGACCAGATACATTAAGGAGCAATGAGTTCTTCTGTTCTCTTTTATACCTCTGTGTATCCATAAGCAGAATAGCTTCTCTTTTACACCTATCTGCGTTCAAATATCAGCATCCTCGCCCTCCAAAAGATGCCATGCACAGTCAGCAAAGCCTAACATTTCCATGGCAGCAGACAGGAAAACTTTAAAAATGTATAGCTGGAGTGGTAATGTATCTTAAGAGGATAAACACCATAGATACGATTTGGATCATGGTTATATACTGTGAAGGAGTGAGGATAAATCATGTTTTTAGAAGCCATTTCTTTAAATTTAGCTTAGATTAAGGTGCAGGAGCAAGCAGTCTTGAACCTGGACACCTTTCCATGATGGACAATGAAGCTGATTGCAGGGTAGTGCGCAGAAGACATTGTGAAACCATGAAGTCCAGTGACTCATCCACAAGAAGTGAACTCTTCCTCTCGGAGTGAAGCAGTTCAGTCTGTGATTTGGGCCAATAGATCGTACTATCCTGTGTTGCTCATCGTAAGGGACTTTATTGAAAGGTAAAAAAAAAAAAAAAAAAAAAAAAAAAAAAAAAGGAAGAAAAAAAAAGAAATTTAAACTAAACTGTAGCAATGGCTGTGAAAGTTTTCATAATCTGGTGATTTAATATTCCCAAGTAGGATGAAACTCTTAAGAGTTTATAGATCCAGACACAGCTAATCTCCTAAAAGACAATTCAGCTGCATTGATGAAAGTTGATGTTTATATTTTCAAAATGTATATGTTCATTTCCAGGTAGATTTAAAAGGCTAGTGGTAGGAACTGAAGTAAATTGCATGTGCTAATGAATGACATGAATCATGGGATCAGTGTCTGTTGTATAGCTCTGGAAAATTTTATCTGAGAAATTCATACCTCTCCTTATTTTACCTGTCAAACTCAAACCATTTTTTTCCTTGAAAAAAAAATTTGCATTTTAGTTTTGCTAGATTACTTACCAAATGGATCTGAATTTCTATAGTACAGCTCTGATTTTCTTGATGCACATAAATATTCAGTCTGTATTAAATCTAGCTGGAGACTATATCTTCATTTCAATAGAAATATTTGGTGATTTGACATATCTTTTTGATGCAGAAAGAGACTAGAGGACTAAATATTCTTATGTAAATGAAAAGTTGCAAGAATTTGACCTAAGTAGTGTTTCAATGTACCAAAGCCTTGCATAGAAATGAAGGCTGAATTTGAGGAATTGAAATGCAGCAATTTAAATGTAGCAGAGTACAATGAAGCTGTCCAAAAAAGTACATTTCTCCTGTGCTTTTTTTGACTTAGAACAACCAGCACAAATGTTAAGTTTTGGTAGGTGACGTAAACTGAGGTCTGGTAGGAAACAGCTCAGAATGGTTGTAAGTGGATAATAACTGTAGCAAAATAGCAATTGATTGCCTAAGTGTTTGAACCTTTCGCAGAATAAATCAGTTTTGCAAAGAATACTAAGAAATCACATGTCTTTGGCATGCAGAGCATTTAAAAATGATCTGTTTTATGCATGTGCATCTAAAATGCTGTTCTGCTAAATTATCCCGCTAATGCATTATCAAGAAATGGAGGAGATTGCTGGCGAATGAAGAAATGTAGCAGTGGCCCCGGGGGCTGCAGGATGGAGGGCAGCACATCCCTGCAGTGCCGGCGCCAGCCCGCACCATGTCCCGACGCAGATCCCGGGGCCCTTCCCGGGCTCCGGCGTGGCCGGGGCAGCGAGCCCTTCGGCAGCGCCCTGCTGCAGGCGCTGGCCACGCAGACCACCCCGGCAGCGCACAGAGAGCCAAAGAGAAGTTGTCTTGGCCCCCAAGAAGTTTACAGCTCACCTAAGAGTGAAGCTTAGGGTTCCAGATTAGACACTAGAGTTAGAGAAAAAAGAACCACCAAATTTAGAGAAAAAGAGCTCTCTGTAACACTGTTCTAATCTCATAGTCTGTAATGCTAGCAGGGGGTTCCAAGAGGAACAGGAATGAAATTTCGTTGCCAATAGCAAATGCCAGCTATTCTTTCTTGTCTGAACAGCACCTGAAAATTGCCCGTTTGGAATATAAGAGCTGCAGGAATTAGGACTGGTTGATGCAGTGAAACTGTTACTGCGTTTTCAGATCCTTTTCTCTAGGGGAACTGGTGGATGCAGCAGAGAAAATGAGTTGCGGCAGTAGGCTGGCATTTGCCACTAACTTCTCAGCTGCATTTCTTAGTGTGTGAGAAGACATGTGCAGGGAAACGGACCCACAAGGGTCCTGCTTCCGATCCTATGTGTGGAGCATCCCCGGCTCCACGGAAACACTGGTTTTGTCTCCAAAGCGCTGTGCAAACCCGCGTGTTCCCCACGTAGCCCCTCGCGCTCGCGGAGTGGCTGTCTCCCCAGGGCCTGGGAGCCTTTGAGTGCAGTGGAACGGGATGGGGGATCCTTCCGAGAGCTGCCCAGCTGGGAGCCCATGGTTGTCTGCAAGGAGGGAAAACCAGTGTTTCTGTGCGCGGCGTCTGCCCCTGCTGCCCCGGTACGTCTGGCTGGGGTGGCAGCCAGCGCTCCTCTCGGCCCACCTGTGAAACAACTGGAGCTGCTGTTCTCCTCTGCAAATTCCGCCCCAACTCTTCCACCGTGCCCTGCTCTGGGGACGGGAAGGGGACAGCCGCACAAAGCGGAGTGCTGGGATGTGCAGAGCGCTCCCCCTGCGCAAACCCTGCGAGCGAGGAAGACGTTGCCAGTCAGCCAGGAGGCTGCACCCCCTGTAGCCCTTGTGCTGGGTGCACAGAGAGGAGGAGGAGACGGGAGATAAGGAAGCCTCCGCTGGTGCTTTGTGCTGCTCTGCCGGTGCCGGCGAGTGCCAGGCGCTCCAGCATGTGTCTGTGGGGCTGCGGTAGCTCTGGGGAGCGCCGGGAAGAGGGACCCCATTGGCTGCTCCGTGGCAGTGTGTCATCTGGCAGCCCGTGTCTGTCACAGGGAAGCAGGGACCGCTCAGCCTCCGAGCAGAGCTGCCTCCGTGCATCGCTCAGAGATACTTCAAGGACAGAAAGAAGTGGGAAGAGCTGTTCTGATTCTGACAAGCTCTGAAAACTCCTTGGAAATAGGGACCTGCTGAATTAAGAACTGTGTGGAAAAGCGAGGAAGTAGCCTTCCCAGGAGGAGTTATGAGAGAGCAGCAGAGCAGTGTCCAAAAGGAAATACTTGCTAGGACTTTTTCCTAGGTGCTCTTGCCTGGGGGATGGATGGGACTGGAAAAGGAGAGCAGCAGCTGGAGAGCCTTTGGAGCAGAGCTCACGTGTGATCGGCGCGGGAGGAAGGGCCCGTTTTCCAAATCTTTTTTGCAGTTTGCACCTACAGGACGTGTTCCTGACACGCGCACATTCTCCCTCAGCACCAGAGCTCTCGGGAAGGAGGGAGGGCGGAAGGGGACGCTGAGCCTGCCCGGTCCTCCCGGCACCCGCAGCGCTCGCGCTCGGACCATGAGCGGAGCCGCCTGGCTGCCCTCCCACTACCTGTCCGAGCCCTTGTGGCGAGCGGCGCGTCCCAATGGCACCACCTTCCTCTCTGCGCTCTACGGCTTCCCCAACCGCTCCTTCTTCCACAGCGGGCTGGACCTGGACGACCTGGGAGACTTCGACAGCGGCGCCCGATACGAGGGCGAGTCACAGAGCCGGGTGGTGAAGGCGCTGCTCATCGTCGCCTACTCGGTCATCATCTGCATCTCGCTCTTTGGCAACGTCCTGGTGTGCCACGTGGTGCTCAAGAACAAGCGGATGCGCTCGGCCACCAGCCTCTTCATCGCCAACCTGGCAGTGGCGGACATGATGATCACCGTCCTCAACACCCCCTTCACGCTGGTAAGGGCCAGGCCGGGCCGCGCGGCCGCCGGCCGCTCTCTCTCCATGTCCCGCTCCATGTCCCATGTGGCCCCTCGCACCCAGTCCGGGCTCCTGCTCCTCACCTCCCAGATCCCACATTGCGGGTGGCTCCCTCCTTGCTTCCCTCCTGCAGACTGGCCGGGCGCAGGTGTCCTTGGTGGGGAAGGACGTGGGGACACCAGCTGCGCTGGGAAGTGCCGCGAGCTGCCAGGTCCCTAAGGAGGCGACACAGCCAAGGTCATCCCTCATGGGGGCTGCCAAGAGCAGCCAGGTGTGTGCAGAGCCGTGTCTGTGCAGAGCCATGTCTATGCGGAGCCCTGTCTG